TTAAACCTTTCCATGCCTGTAGCCTAATCAGATATCCTCTCTTGTGTTCTCATAGACCCTCTGCATGCTTTTGTTTAGGGAAACTTGTCATATTGCCTTTGCCTTACCTCTGTGTCCTGGCTTCACTTCTTGCCAAATTGAAAGCATCATGCTAACTCCTACTGATAATTTCTGTAGCCCCCAGAACTGATCATGCTCCTGGAACAATAACAATAATAATAACAACAATAACCACAGTGTAATTGTTGTCAATCAGTTGGTGAGGGTTCTTTTGCTCAATTTAGATGGAAATCATGAATCAGCAAAATGCAGCTGTTAAAGTTCTTGATGCTGCTGGATAATGCTGGGTGCCAGCACTGCCTCTGCTGGCCACTGCCATCCACACCAGCTTGTTCCAGATGGTGTAGGTCACTGTTGCTGGTGCTGGTCTTTGCTGCCTGTCTTCCTTGGCCGCTGGTGTCTGGAGATCTTCAGGGCTAACAGCTCCTAGTGTTTATTGCTCTTTCTGTCGAAATGACCATTCTGTCCACACTACTCAGGACAAGAATCCTGAGTAGATTTATAGGGTCCTTGGAGCCTTCACTTCCTGAGAAATAAATCACAAATGGATTTACAGGACCACAAAGCATGTCTTTAGTAGGACTTGTTCTGCAGCACATGGGGATCAGTACGCCAAAGGCAGCCCTCCTAGACTAAGCCAAGAAGTGTGAGAGGAGTGCGGCTTACATAGCAGCTGCAGGCCTGTGATAGGTCCAGGTGCAGGCCCGGTTCGAATTTGGGCCTCTTGATTGGTTCAAGCACTGGCCTGTGATTGGTCCAGATTAGTGTAGGCCTCCAGCACAGTGGCAGCTGTCATGGCAGCACTTCAGTGAGGAAGCAGGATAACACAGGCTGTTTGATTGCCAGCTGTCACATCTCTGGGGAAAATGGCAGAGCTGAAAGCGGGAAATCTTCAGAAGGCTAGCAGTGTCCATCACAGCTAATTGGGATTTAAAGAGGTTGGGAAAGTTAACAAGGGGCCCAGATCCCCCCCACTTTTGATATTAGCCGCACCATGGTGTCCTCTTCCCTAGCATGTAAAGTAGCAGAAGCAGGGGAGAGGCACTACGGCCAACAGCCAAGCTGCACTCAGGCTGGAGCAAACTGGAAGATGGTGGCTGCTAAGTGACTAGGGAGGACACCGAGTCCATGGCGGGCTGATGGGGAGCAGGTCAGAGGGGAGGGGTGCAGAAACCACCAGTTGAACCGTGCCCCTGTCTGACCGGCACAGGAGAAATGAAAGTCTCCACTGTCCCATTATCATAATTGACATTTGTTAGTCTTACTATGTACTTGTTGAAGTACATGGTATGGTGATCCTTTAAAGGCAAGAAAAGAAGAAAAAAAAAAACCAAAAAACAGGGAAATATTCCAGAAGTCACAAAAGTGTAAGCAGTAGGTGGATGTGAACCCAAGCAGCTTGATTCTGGAACCATGTTTTAGATCAGTATTTTGTGTCGCCTACATGTATCACCCGCTCAATTATGACTTGTTAACAGATAAATGTGTGAATGCAGTTGCTGTGTTTTGAGAAATACGACTTACAGCATACTTAAATGTGTTCAGTAATAAACCTCATCTCAGTGAGACTCTTCTTCAACACCTCTCTGCGTGTTTCCACAGGAGAGGCAGTTTTTGTGAACATGGGTAGAAAAATACAAATTCTGCCTCTCTCGTTAATGAGCATCACGTCTGTGGAAAAAAATCACTTATGCTTTCTTATTGTTATTTCCCTAAACTGGAAAATAAGAATAATAGTACCTACCTCATACAGTAAACAGAGTAAAGGAAATATTATCAAGGGGATGATTAAAGCGAATGATGTAAGTAACCATCTTGAAACACAGTATTCACTGGACAAACATGAGCAGATACTATCATTATTGCCATGAACATTGTTTTAAAAACTTTTGATTGAGAGCACTACCCCCTGCCCATGGGCAAAAGGCACTGAGCTGGTGTGAGTGCTATGCAACAATGTAGCTGCGGCATGAAGCCTGTCACCAAACTCAGGACAGGGATGTTTTGACCCATGTATTTCCGAGGCCTTCAAGTCATTCCAGAGTGAATGAAGCCTTCAGCCAGTATTCACACCTTTCTTTTATAATATAAAACACGGGGTTTGAGGAGCCGGGTCAGAGAGGAGACTGGGGTGTCCACAGTCAGTACTAACCATCTAATTAGTAGTGGTTTCTAAATGAACAGTGAGTCAAAGGCAAAGTGAATAGCTAGGTAACAAAGACTGGTAGGTTGTAAGGACACTGAATATCTAATAGCTAATAAGAACTGCAATTTGTTGTTCAACTGGCAGTGAACTGGGCACACAAGAGAGACTCAATTTTTTACTCAACATTATTAGTCAACCAGGCACTCTTTTAGGCTCAAGGAGTCAACAATAAAACGGATAAAGTCTCAAATATTCGGGTCCATCTCCAAAAACAAAGACATCTAAACCACACTGTGATATAGATGCTATAATTTCCTTTTGATTGACAGGGGAGCAGAGGCTCAGAGGCTGAGAGAGTTTAAATACCTTCTGTGAGGTCTCATAATTGGAATGCAGTAGACTTGGGAATGTAATCTAGGTCTTCTGATGCTACAGTTTATTCTGTAGTCCCAGATGATACTTTCTGTCAAGGAAATAGCAAATGCTGGAATCCTGTGAATGCCCCTGTGTATGTGTTAGAGGGGAAGAGCAGTTTAAAACTCTTATCTAACTTGTTGTCATTGTAACATAGCAATAATTCTGATCATTAATTTGCAAAAAAAAAAAAATACTTTGTAGCTTCTTTTCATGATCTGGGCCTGTCATTTTACTGCTTGTGATCAAAATCTAAGTGGCTCCATCAACAAAGAGGGGAATTTTTATACTTAGGTCAGTAAGCAGGTAGAGGCTCTGGAATCCATGGGCTCATTCCATGGTATGACTGCCTAGTGACTGCTGGGTGCCTTCCAAGGCTGGACAAGGCCAGCGGGCACCATGTGCATTGAAACTGTCCAAACCCAGGGAGCTACTGCTTGGATGTCATGAGTTTAAACAGAATGAGTGAAATGCTGTGGTCCAGTCAAGGCTAAGGGCGGTGAGGCCCAGAGCCAGGTGAGGGTAGCTGCTTACCCCTTTGGTCAGGCCTTTTACATGCCCATTTCCCACAGATTGGGAAAGAAGATTCATAGACAGCATTTCAGATGCCACTGGAAGGGAAAGGGAGGAGGGCAGTTGGTCACTGGTGGAATGTAAAACCTAAAAGCAATGTTCTGTTCTGGATAGTGTCTTAGTGGCCTCATTTTGCTTCTAGGGCCTGCTTTTGTTTCTAGATCACACAGCAACAACTGAGCTGTCCAAGGCTACTTATTCAATCTGTTTGTTCAGGCTGTTCCATAATTTCAAAACGCAAAGACAGAGCAGACAAGAGGAAAGGACATCCTAGTGGGACATCAGTAGACTGGGATTCTGCCCCTGGCTCTGCCCCAGTTGGCAGTGGAACCCTGGACAAGGAACTTTGCTCCCGTGGTCATTAGATATTGATGTTTTCTATGATACTTTCTGGCTGTGAAGTTATGATTTTGTTATCTGTTATTTGTAGCTTTATAGTGTCTTTCTAATTTTCATATCCTGTGCTCAAACCACAGTTTTTTTTTTGTTTGTTTGTTTGTTTGTTTGTTTGTTTTGCTCCTTTAGTGCACTATTTTTTCTATTGTTCCCAAGATCATAGTGTTGGTCTCCAGAAATTGCTGACATAGCAATTTCTGAAATTAGTGAAACACTCCATACAGAAGCAGATAATGAATGAATGCAGCCACTGTCGACGTGTTGGTGTGCCTTCCTGTCTTGGGCTCTCTGTGTTGTAGTGTGGGTTGCTAGGAGAATTGTGGTACCTGGCATGTGATAATGGGTATGAAGCATGTGAATGATACGGGCACACAGAAATGTTTCCAACTACTGCTGTCACCACCATTATGTATCTCATTTTCTAGGAATATGGTATAGTGTTCGTATGGTTTTATAACCACTTCATGTCAATAATAAAGACTTTTTTCCATGTCACTAATAATCTAATTTAATTTTCGTGGCTGTGTACTATTCTATTGTAGAGTTTATCCAATCCCCTCCCTTACAAATCCCTTCAATCTTTTTTGTATTATAAACAACATACCTAAATAATCTATTTTAAGAGGAAAAGATCTTGCTTTGTAACAGAAAATGTGTTTTTCATAAGCCATGCGCATTCCTGTGATGCTACCGACTTCTCCCACTTAATTTAGAACTGAAGTATGTTTAGGAAGGTGGGCAGAGGTGATTAAGGGCATTGTAGCCTGGATCCACATGCAAAGGGACTGTGATTATTGTTACACTCACACTGAATGAGAGAAGAGCAGTTTTCCTAAATCCAATGCATTTTCCCTTCTCCCTCTTGATCAGAACCAGGAGGAAATGTGTGGCCACATTTGGAAAGAGGACCCAGGAGGAGATTGGAGTCTTGGACTTGGAGCTCCCCTCTGCTGTCTGACTGAGACAAATAGCTCATCTTCCTGGACCTTGGTTTATTCTTCTATTAATGAGAATATTGTTATTACTGAAAGTGTCTGCCCTTTCGCTACAGGCTTGAAAAATGCAATCAGGAAAAGTTGTGAGCATAAAATCAAATAGGTGCAAGACTAATTTGAAGCATTGAAGTCAGTGTTGTAGAGAAGTGAGTGGTAGGGAATATGGGCTTGCTGGTTCTTGTTTGCTTCTAATCTCAGCAACTGTGACCTGGAATGTCTCTAGAGTTAACGGTGGTTTTTGAGAGAGTTCTCACCTTACACATCACCACAATTAAGAGGGAGCAATAGTGGTAATTCAATATTGTACTATTTGCATGCTTTTTTTATTCTTAATCCTTGCCAGATGTAGACTGGCAGTGAGCCCAGAGACTGAGCACTTTCTGAGAGAGGTAGTTTTATTCTTTCCTCCCTTCTAGACAAAGAATTCTTGAAGGAAAAGGAGAAGTTAGAAATGGAGTTATCAGCAGTGCGGACTGCGAGTGAGGACCATCGAAGACACATTGAGATCCTGGACCAAGCTTTGAGCAACGCCCAGGCCAAAGTCATCAAGCTGGAAGAGGAGGTGAGACCAGGCTTAGGGACTGGGTGGGGGTGAGAGGAAGGCAGAGCCCAGAGGCCTCCACTTCTTTGTCCTAACTCAGCTACTTTAAACAACCAGTCACAAGGACTTGACACTGGGGGGGGGTGCGGGGGGTGTTGGAAACTTCCCAAATAAAAATGAATAAAAGCAGAGTTTATCCACCCCCAGAGGCAGGCAAAGTCTGAAAGGCACACATGAATGCCATCAGCAAAGAGCTCACAGCCTGAGGCCTAGTCTAAATCCTGTTGGACTGGATACCACTGGTGCCTGTACAGCAGAGAGACAGTTTTTTAAAATAGCCCAATAGCTGTCTTTGGGCTTCCAACTGCATAGAAGTAGGCAAAAGTTGTCTGATGGGGTGGGGTGTTCAACAAATGCATCTCCAGTTCACAGAACTTGGCTTGGCCATGCAATACCCCACAACCCCAATCCAGGAATCTTTGAGCCCATTCAAGCATTATGGATTTGGTAATTTCTGATGAAGTCAACCCCTGAATTTAACTTTGGTGCAGTGGACTTTCCCTTTAAAGTGGAATGGAGAATCAGAACAACCATTTCTGAGGTCCATGCTAGGGAATCCAGGCTATAGAGGCTGAGGCAAAAGGAGGAAAGGTGCAGCCCCATGCCATGGTGGCATCTCTGTGTTACGGGGCTGAACCTGAGCAGGATCCATTGCAGGAAGTAGACCCTCGGTCTTGAGGCTTAACTGAGATAGTCCACATCAATTCACAGCTTTATGCTTGGAACACAGAAAACAGTAATGCTATTAATTCTACTGTTGCTATTAATTCTACTTATTACTTTCCCAACAACAACCTGGGGGAAAAGTTACTTCAAATAGCATCTCCTGGCAATGGTAACTCATATCTCTGCAAACTTCAACTGCACAGGTAACAGCGCTACAGAGGAAGATTTTTATATAAACAAGGATTTTGTCCACTAGAAGCTACTTAAATCCTACAAGTCCTGTTTAGAAACTATGATATTTGTTTGTTTGTTTGTTTGTTTGAGACAGGGTCTCACTATGTAGTTGAGACTGACCTGGAACTCACTATGTAGCCCAGGCTGGTCTTGAACTCACGGTGGTCCTCCTGCCTCAGCCTCCCAAGTGCTGGGATTACAGACGTGCGCCACCATGCCCTGCTAGAAATTATGATTTTAACAGTAGCAAGAGGATCCCAGGAGGCAGCCCAGAGTGTCTTTCTTGTCGCCTCATAAATTGACCTTAACCCCTTGACGGCAGGAGGCCTGCTCTGAGGAAAGGAGGACGCCTTATTTTTCTAATCCCTGAGTTCACTTCTTGAGGATCCATCTCTGCATATGGAGTGAAGGGAGATTATGGTTTTTAAAAAATTTGTGGAGTCCCTTGATGATAGGTTCTCCAAAATCCCCATTATGGTCTTTTCTTGTCATTATTTGTTGGCAACATTTTTTTTTTTATTGATTGGAGCCTCTTCAAAGTGACTCATGTGTCTGCTTGTCTGCTTCCCATTTCACTACTTGCTCACAGTAAAGTTTCTTCCAAAGGATCTTACTTCAGTCCAGATGGTGGATACCAAGAGCTTACCATAGTTTACCATGCTGGTTAAGAGTGCACATAGAGCCAGGCTGCTGGGATAGGGTGTGTGAGCTCCATGATACACTGTGTGACCCTCAGCAAGTCACTTAGCTTCTTTGTCATCTTTCTCCACTCCTAAACAGAGACAGTAAAAGACTTTCCCTCTTACTGTCATTGGGAGGATTAAATGAGACACTGTACATAAAGCACGAGGCTTGTTGTAACTCTGAGAAAATGTTGACTGATTTAACCACTGTTTTTAATCATCTTCTTTGTGATGTATGCCTTGCTAGACTAGACTTAAGGTTTATATAAAGGTCAAGAAGACAGAACCATGTCTTTGAGGATCTTGCTGTAGCTTAGGGGTGGTACTTGTTTATTTATTCATTTCACACACACATACTGGGTGACAGGGTCTGTTCCAGTCATTAGGGATACACTGTTCACTCTGCCTAGTGAGGACCAAAGTGAACAGATCTTCTAGTGCTTGCAGTCATTCAGAAAACTGTGTGCAGTAGAAGACATGCTAAGTAGTGTATGAATGAAAACACACTAAATAATTGATCCAGTGAGGCTTCTGAGAGTTGCAGAAACTGTACTTAGTAGGGTCCCAGAAGTCTACTGAATTGAGTTGAACTGTCGAAAGCACAGTGAGTAAAAATGCCATGTAAAAACTGACCCTCAAAACAACTGTCTATCTGTTAAGTTCATGTCCATTCATTGAAAGAACAGAAGTATCTCCATTTTATTCCAGTGGCTTTGGTTACAGAAAACCAGAGGTCCTGCTCATGGCAGTGTAGCCTGCTAAGTCAGAAGCTCTCCTAGCAGCAAGCTAGATCACTAGCACATTGCAGTGTGCCAGTGTGGTCAGGACTGAGTTATCTGCAAGGCGTCTGCACACTCAGGTACAGAATGACAGGAAATAGCACCTGGTGTCCTTACCTGGGACCAGCTCTAGTAAGTGTCTCATCCCAATTTTTGGCACCAGCTGATTCCCAGAATGACAGAAATGTGCCTGGATTTATGAACATGGGCCAAACTTCCAATTAGGAGAAAACAGTTTGGATAAAAGTTTAAAGTTATGGTTCATGATTTTAAATCTATACCAGATGTGATGTTACTTAAATCATTTTAAGCTTAATTTCCACTTCCTGAAGTCATTTTGTTGAATATTCATTATGCCTTTCTTTTCTCTTCAGGGCTGTCAACTACTCAAGGCCTCTGAAACCTTCAGTCTATAAATATTTATAGTAAATTTTTATACACAGTTATACATGCATATATACACATAATTTATAGCAAAATAGTTTATATTTATCTTGGAAAAATTAAAATTCCTTTTTCATTACACAGATATTCTTTAAACAGAGTTAATGCTTTAAGTATTTATTGTTGGTATTTTTTTCATGGACCAATATATAGGAAGACAAAAACAATTGTGATAGGGCTGGGGATTTAGCTTAGCAGCACCTCGCCTGCCATGCAAGCACAAGGTCGAGAGTGTGATCCCCAGTACTGGGGAAAAAAAATAGTTGTGATAATATATGTAATTTTTATTTGGGTTTTTTCAATAAATAGGGCCGGCGCTTTGGCTTAGTGGTTCCATCACCTCCTTCACAAGCACAAGGACCCAAGTTCGATCTATGTTTTACAATAAAAACATAGAATAAATATTTCTTCATGATATTAAAAGCTCTTTATTAAGCCTCATATTTAGCTCAGTGGTTCTGCCGCCTGCCTCACAAGCGCAAGAACCTGAATTCAATCCCCATTACCCCCCCAAAAAAAGCTCTTTATTAATTTAGTGCCTGCAAATGCTGTAATTATTAAGAAATAACCAAGCATTGAGCTCAAACTGTACAAATTACCAAAAGCAAGTGCCCAGCAAGGTCTCCCATTCCAAATATCCTGGCCATTTTAAAGATAACTGATGGCCTTTGTGTACAACTTTTCTGTCAGAGCACACCTGGGAGAGGAGAAGGGAGGCGCCCACACCTGCACTTTGAACACAATCTCCAGAAAGTCTGACTCCCACCTCCATTCCAGCATTGACAATCACGGGGTTCAACTCTGTGCTATCTCCCTCTTCTCCGTTCAGCTGCGAGAGAAGCAAGCATACGTGGAGAAAGTTGAGAAGCTGCAGCAGGCCCTGACACAGCTACAATCTGCATGTGAAAAGCGAGAGCAGATGGAACGCAGGCTGCGGACCTGGCTGGAGAGAGAGCTGGATGCGCTGAGAACCCAGCAGGTGAATTAAATTCAGTCAACAATCATGTATTGCCCTCAAGGGCTGGCCACTGCTCCCTGCACTCAGAACTCCCTGTCCTGAAACCCAGCCACCAGGGGGACATTGGGAGGTCCATTCACTATGGAGAAACAAACTTCCTCACTGAAAGAAAGGAATCACCATGTCAGGGCTGGTGAGAGGGGAAGGCAGCTTCACACGTGAGCTGGACTTTGAAGGGTGACTTTGTTGGACATTCAGGGTCAAGAATGTAGGGAACACATAAAGGAGAGGGGCACAAAGTGGCAAGGCAAGTCCAGGGCAGCTGGGTACTATAAGGACTGCCCATTGAAGTGGCTGGTGAGGGGCAGTGGCCTGTTTGTGGAAGGTAGTTGGTCAAGTGGAGAGAACGGGCTTCCTCCTGTAATCAAAAGATGAAACTATAATCAACACCCTGGAGGGCAGATGGTGAAGACTCACTTGAAGACTCTTAGTGTGATCTCGGGTATAGTGACAAAAGAAGTCCATGGAGGAGTTAAAGACAGGAGCTGGTAAAGGGTGAAATTAATAGGACACTGTAATCACTGAGTTTTCAGAGGTGATTGAGGGAAGGAGCTCAGGACCATCCTTAGGAAGTAATATGGGCCATAAGCTGCAATTCCTTCTGCTTACTCTGCTGGTAACAGCTGATAATGTCACTCAGCTACAAGTAAGCTTTGGGTAGAATGCTCCAGCCAGGGCCAGTGTGCCTCTAAAGCAAAGAGAAAAGTCTGGCAAGAATGCTCCACTGCAGGCTGGCCAGGGCTCCTGGCTGCCCCTGGGCTTGTCTGTCGTCTGCCAGTATGATGGGTACAGCCCATTATGTAGCCAATGAAGAGTGTGCTCTCATCCAGGTGACTGGGGAGATGTAAGGCAAGCTCCTAGAATTATCTGCTGGGTAGGGCCTAGTAACTGTGGTTGAAAACACTTGAAAGCATGTACTCAGACCAGCTCAGGCCTCTTGCATGGCAGGCTCTTGCAGTTCTCTCTGGGTGTGTGCACTTGGCTGACAGAGGAAGTGTCACCAAGATTGCCCAGAAATTAAAGAAACCCACCCTGGCCTCCACCACCACCCTGGCTCAGTCAATAGCTTGTGAGGAAGGGCAGGTTCTTTTCCTGTCTTCTGATACTTTCATCTTTTGCCATGTACCCTGGCATCAGTTGAGACCTTCTACTGTTCTGTTGCTCAGCTATGGAGATCTGACATGTTCCCAACATGGGAACAAGGTTTCCCTGGTCCCAGGCATCATAGACAATAACAAGTCTCTGGCTGGTATCATAGGCACATCTCAACCTTTAGAGCCAAGAAGAACATTCTCTTCCAATGAATGTGTCATCCACACCCTACAATTAGAATACTTATGCTTAGTTTTTCTATTTTGAGTGCTGTGATAGCACACTCAACTCTTATCCTTGTCATGTATCAAGAAGAAATGAGATTCTGGAGTTATTGAAAAAATGCCCTAATTGCCACAGAGGACAGCTCTTTGTAGGGCATTCAGACCTGGGTGTGCTCTCCCATATCCATCCTTAGCGACAGCATGTGCTGCTGTGCAGAGGCTGAAATAGGCTAAGGCACACTGCCGGAGGCATCAGAACTGGGGCTCACCAGGGAAATTGCTCTTCCTGCACTTTGGATTTGTCTTTGGGAACCGATGGCAGATCCCCAGCTGTGTGTGGCTGACAGGAGACCAGAGAAAGGAATACAGTCTTTAGAACTGATAAGAATTTGATTCTCAGCATCTCTCCATTACTACTCTTTATGAGAGTATTAATGTCTCCTATGACGTGAAACACCTTCAGGTTTTCCTGTTAAGTTCTCACTAAAAAATAGGTATTTTTATTTTTTTTCTTTAATACTTCTTTATTTCTAATATTACCAGTAAGTATATATTATTCTATAACCAGAAAAGGTAAAAATGCTATTACAAAAAGTACATACACACATATAATTCCTTAAAATCATGAATTTCATAAAATTATAACTTTGTCGCCAGTGCCATGTGGTAGATGCTATAAGAGTCAGAGTCTGTTCACAGTAATGTCTGGAGCCAACAGACTAGTGAGGGAGCAGCTCTGCCAGTGTCCCAGGGAAGACTGGAGCCCACTCTAGAACATAGAATCATCTGAGGAACTGCTTTTCTTTTTTTTTTCTTTTTTTTTTTTTTTTTTTTTTTT